GTTTTAAATTTTATTCTCCCATTATCTGGCTTTTAGTGCAGGCACAAGGCCCACTGTTTCTCCTTCTGTTCTTTTTTCTACTAAGGGGAAAGAGGAGCACTGAATGGAAACAACTAGAAATACTCCTTTCTTCGTTCAGCCACTTTGGAGGACTGGGTCAGTTTATTCAATCAAGCCCCAGCCCTGGATGTTTGGTGTTTTTCATCTTCGGCTTTTTACTGTCAGTAGTATTGACAGCAAACAACATTTGGTATGTCTGCCAGTAAGACTGGCCCAAAAGAGGAGCTAAATTAAAAATGAAGTCCAGGGGTTAACTTGCCTTCCACACAGTCAATCGTGGTTCGATCCCTGGCACCCCATATGGTCTCCCTGAGCACAGAGCCAGGAGTAAGCCCCAAGTACCACTGGAGACTCCAAGCTCCACCCTGGCCATCCAACCCTCTGAAAACAAGCATTAAAAAGTCATTGTAAACTTTAAGAGTGGAATTTGAAGAGGAAACTGCTGCCCCAATCTTGTGTTCACCCCCCAGGTTAGACTCCCAGCCACATCGCTCTCAGCCTCCCCAGGAAGCTGAGTCTTCACTGGTCACTGCACAATGTTCTGTTCAGCGCCTGCAAGCCCATCATTTCCACTCCCCAGGGGCGGAAGTCTCAAGCCCTCTGCCCCTTCCCCTGCGGCCATTTCCTGAGCCTGGATTCCCCCCACCCCACACCCTTACTCTTGCCTGCTTCGTTCTCTGCAACCTTTCATTCTGGATCACTCTGGAAAGCACCTACTTGACCACTGTCAAGCAGAGACAAGTTAATCTTGAAAACATACACAGATTTATATAACTTAGCAAAACAGACACAGGTGACTGTTCGAAGACTGAGAGTTCCCAGGACAGATGATGCTAAGATGCCACGGAGCACTGAGGTGAGGCCTGCCCCATGTTTACACTTTCTTTTAAATTGGGCTTCCTTGATGCTGCTCTCTGCCCATGGCAGGAAGCGGCTGTGGCTGCTCCCTGGAGTACCACTTCCCCTGATGCAGAACCAGCCCTTGCTTTCGGATGCCCGTCCATAACAATCAAGAGATTTTGGGAAAATTGAGGTAGGGCACATTCTGGACACTGGTGTTTGGTGATTTGTTGTGTGCAGGTCTAAAGCAGTGTTTAGGGGACTGGAGGCCACTCCCAGGGGCAGTTGGCCAACCCAGTTGGATGTCCACGCCAAGTCCCACTTGGAGTGGCTTTGGTGGCCCCTGGGCACCGCCCATCGTGGCCCCTATAGAAAGCAGAGGGGAAAGATAGAAAAAGGATGATTGATCACCTGTGTCCAGACAAAAAAAAAAATAGGTAAATAAGTTGAAAGTTAGGTGTGAAATTAGACTCTGTTATGTGTGTACATATGTGTATACGTATATTACACACATATATAAACACACACATGAATACACAAACACACACATATATATGCATATATAATACATATGTACTTGGTTTAGGGGCCACAGCTGGTGTTGCTCAAGAGTTACTCCGAGCTCTGTGGTCAGGGACAACATGGGGTAGAACCTTGGTTGGCTGCATACAAGAGAGGTGCCTTGTCAATGTACTATCTTGGGCCCATATACATCATTTTTTAATACACTAACAAGGTGTTTGAAATGCAAGAATGGCTCAATGTTAGAACATTTGAGTTACTGCACCAAACCATACCCCAAATAGCTCAAATTGTAAGACTGAGAATCAAAATTTAGCAGACTGAGCAAGAACATGCTACAACTTGAAAATGATATCCCTGGTGCCAGAGTGATAGTACAATGAGTCGGGCATTTGTCTTGCATGCAGCCGATGTGAGTTTGATACCCGGCATCCCACAGGGTTCCCCGAGCACTGCCAGGAGTGATTCCTGAGTGCAGACCCAGGAGAAAGCACTGAGCATAACTGGGTGTGATTTAAAAAAAAATAATAATAAAAATAAAACCCATCCCTAACATTCCTAATTTCTTCAACGCATCTCAAAACGCTAGGACAGGAGGGAAGTTTAATACCCAAAGATACACTCGTTTTGGAGCGCTAGAAACTCGTCCCTTTGCATTAGGCACGAGAGATGATGTCACTCCCCAGCGCAGTAAAAATAAGGGGTGAGATGATCCCCAGTGGATACAGTCAACGCAAGATGGGGGTGCTGGGGCACATCTTGGGGTAATGGTGGAGGAGCTTGTGCTCTGGCTGTGGGCACATGGGGCCGAAGAGCGAGCACAAAAAGCAAAATCAAAAACAAGGACCATGGTGGAGGGATCTGGGCTCTCTCAGTGCTGAGGCAGGAAGTGTGCACGTTGGAAGCAGAACATCAACACTGCCTGCAGCGTGCTCCCTAAGCCATGCTAATAAAACTGGAACAGAACCAAGCACAAGAACACAAAGATCCTTAGGGCTGATTGCCAGTTCCCAAAAATGCTTTGGAGTTTGGGGCTGGAGAGACAATACAGAGGGCAAGGTGCTTGTCTTGTACGCAGCTGACCTGGGTTCAATCCCTGGCACCTCACAGGGTTCCCTGAGCCCCACCAGGAGTGACCCTGAGTGCAAAGCAGGAGTAGGCCCTGACACCATGGGGTGTGCCCCTCCCAAACAACCCAAACTAAAAAAAAAAAGAACGTTCTCAAGTTCTACCCAAAGACCTCCAAAGACATAAAAGATGTTAAAAACTGAAAAACAAAACAAAACCAAAAAAACAAAAGAGCCCCCTCTGTCACAGACATAGTAGCATGTTTTCAGTCCTAGCCATGAATTTATGTAGGTATCGAATACTGCTAAATACTAAAATCTATTGTGTAAGTGTAAAAAATGATAAACTGAAAACACTTGGTGCTAGTCTTAACTGTAGAGAAAAAAAAAGAATAAAAATTATTTCATTATTCACACTCAGACACAAGAACAGGTTAGAAATTAATCTGAGAGTCAAACTTTTGCATTTGGTCTTAGCCACAAGGCCAAGAAGCAATGAAAGTCAAACTTTTAAAAGAAAATACCTTTAAGGTAATTGGGAGACTTTTTGAAAGCACCACACAAATCAGAAGGTGCCTGTATGAGAGAGCAGACACTGGGAGAATGAACAGAACATTCAAGAAAATCTTATCAACCAAGTGAAACAGAGAAAGTCTGAAAGAGAGAATCTGATGGCAAATGAAGAGCAAGCAAAGACATGCTTGTTGTCACTGGGAAGCAAATAACAAAGTTAACCCTGGAATAAATGATCAGCAGCTGCCCTCAGCCAGGCTCACGATAGGAAAAGCCAAACTCGGCCCCAGGGAGGGTTGGCAAGACCTCTTTAGATGGTCAGTAGGAGGTAGCTGCATACAAACAGAAACTTGGCCAGGTCCCAGGTTGGCTCTGGTTCTGCCTGAAGAAACTCTTAAGCCTCAGGGCATGGTGCGTACACCAGCAAATAGCAAGAGACTGCAAAGAGGACAGGAGAGACAAGACAGCAGGCAGGGCGCCTGTCTTGCACACAGCCAACTAGGCTTCAATCCCCAGCACGCCATACAGTTCCCTGAGCCACACCAGAAGTAATCCCTGGGCACAAAGCCAAGCATAGGCCCTGAACGTTACCAGGTATGGCCCCCTCACCCCTTACCAAATGCAAAGAACGTTGGTCCATTATGGAATGAATAAATACACCCCCCCCCCCCCCCCCCACACACACACTCCCAAGGAAGGAATGCATCAGAAATATATTGAATCTTAAAAAAAACGGTGATGGGCCAGGGAGATAGCTCAAAAGGCTGGAGTACCTAGGAGACTGGGTGTGAGCTCTCAGCACCAGAGAATCCCTCCCAGCTTTATGGGTACCAAACCACTCCACACCACCCCTACAAAACAAACACGAAACTTTTAAAATGGTGAGTGCACTTTTGCCTGTTGGGTCACCAGCAGCTGTACTGGAGCCATGGAGAAAAACTGCCCTGGGAATGCGCTTTTGCCGACTGCCACAGCCCCACCCGGAAACAAGCATCAGGATGCGGGCTGCTGTTTCTGCGTCTAGTTGGCCTCCGTGAACTTCTGAAATTGGTCCTTTAAGAAGAAAAAATATTCTTTGTACATGAAATGAAGTGACTTCAGTTTATAAAAACACACTGAGTGCAATATCACATTGCAAGAGTACACAGTGTGTACTCCACGGATCAAAACTGATTCACAAACTAGGGCCTCTCAGGACATGGGGGCTACACCACCACCTGGTGTGTTGGAGGGCTGCAGATGGAAAATAGAACTGCCAGCATCCCGCAGCACCGGGAGGAGTGTTGCTCCTTGGCTCCAATGCAAGTGCTGATGGAGCTGAGTAGGGGTCTTCCCCACCACACCCATGCCAAAGCGAGCGCTGGCTTTAGAACACAGCAGAGGTGGGAGCAGAGAAGAGGGGTGAGACAACCAGCAGGAAGCCCAGCCAGAGTTGTGCTTTCTCACAGAACCAGAACCTGAAGACTGTTGTTACTTTAGGAACAGCCAGCCAACTCTGGCCTCAGAAACGACCCAGATCAAGATAATGTTGGAAAACTTAAAAACAAAATGTAACAGCATAAGCGTACTTTTAAAAATTGCTAGGTCTGGAATCACACTTCTCTCTCTCTCTCCACCATCCCTTCCCTGGCCCCAGAAGTCCTTCCTTGTCATATTTCACCGGCCAGGAAACATCTTTAAACAAGCCTACATTTAAGTATCACTAACTGGTGGAGCTGGGATCTGAACCCAGGTAGTCTGAAGGTGTTATCTGCTTTTTGTGATCCGCAAACATACATTTGTTAGTTTTGGGGGCGACACTAGCTGTGCTCAGGGATCACTCCTGGCGGGGTTCAGGGAACCCTGTGGGGGTGTCAAGGATCAAACTCTGGTCGGCCATCCTAAGGCAAGCATCATACTATCTGCTGTACTATCTCTTTGGTCCCAGAATAAAATTTACTTTAATACAAATGTGAAAAGCTTTTTGGAAAAAATACTATCTACATATGGTTCAAAACAAGGAATCACACTTTGATGTACAGTCAATACAATATAAAGTGGCTGTTGAGGTTAATAAAATGGTAACAGGCTATAATGTTCTTGTTAATATAAAAATGATTTTATTTCTTTTGTAAACAGGGATTGTTCAAAGGCCACAGATAATTGTTGGCACCAAAGCAATTTCAGGCGAGCCTCTGGAAACATCTGCCCCGCAGCCTGGTTTACAGACAAGTTTTCCAACTATAGCTGGCCAAAGAAACGAAGCGAACTCCTCCCAAAGAGTCGAGAGCACAACCAAAGCAAGTAAATCCCCCTCTCCAGTTCTCATAAACGGAACTCTGGGGCCCAATAACTTATACGAAAACAACCGAAGTCTGCAAAAACCCATCCCAAGGCCCCGTAAGTCTCCTACCCACAGCTCCTCGCCTCTGGGACCCCCCTCGAGCCCGAGGCTCCCTGCGGTCTAGCTCTTGGCATTCGCCAAGAAGGAGGCGAGGTTGGTGGCGGTGGAGGCGGAGGAGGAGGAGGAGGAGGAGGCGGAGGCGGCGGTGGAGGCGGAGGAGGAGGCGGAGGAGGCGGTGGCAGGGGGCGCCGAGCTGCTGAGCTGGGGTCGCGAGCGCGCCTCCTCGTCGGCCAGGGCCTCGCAATACTGCGCCGGCCAGTCCTTGGGGTCCTGGTTGTGCACCTTGGCCACGAACTTGAGCACCTTCATCTTGCTGGTCTCCAGGAGTGTGCGCGGGCCCCACTGCAGCTCGTAGTCCACGGGGTCGGTGTGCGGGATGCGCCGGTAGTCCAGGTACCGCTGGCGCACGAAGTCCTCGGTGATGAGCTTCTTGGGGTCGCCGAAGATGAGGTGCTTCTTGGTGGGGTGCACGTCCAGGCGCCGCAGGAAGTCCCACACCTCCGTCTCCTTGACGGAGTTGCCCTTCATGAAGATGAGGCCCAGCACGATCATGAGGAGGCCGGCGGTGGGCGTGCCCTGGTCGCCGCGCACCTCGGCGTCCTCCTCCACGGGCTCCAGCGTGTTGACCAGGATGTAGGTGCTGCTGCGGGGCTCCAGCTCCACCAGCCGGTAGCCGAACACGTCGCGCAGCCGCTCGGCCGCCTGCCGCAGCAGCTCGCCGAAGACGTCCTTGTAGTCGCCCACGACGTGCTTGAGGATGTCGGCGCGCCGGATGGGGATCTTCCGCTGGTCCTTGACGAGCAGGAACTGCACCAGCTCGGCCACCTTCAGCTCCAGCTGCTTCGGGCTGCGCGGCCCGAGCGACGGGGAGCCCTCGGGGCGCCGGGCGGCCTGCAGCGCCGCCGCCGCGCCGCGGGACGTGCTGGGGGCCTCCTGGTCGCCGGCGCCGCGGGCCCAGGCCCGGTCGCTCGGGTGGCCGCGGGGCCTCGGCTTCTGCGACATGGCGCGGCCGGACGAGCGGCAGAGGCGGCCCCAACGGGCGGCGGGACGGCGTCGCGGCGGGACGGCGGGCGGCGGGCGGGGGCGGGGCCCGCGGCGCCGGCCGGTGACGTCACTCGGCGCGCGGGCGCCTCCCGGTGGCGTCACGCGGCGCCTCCCTGTGACGCGCCAGGGCTGCGCGCGCGGGGGCCGCGGCTTCCTGGTGGCCGCGGGCCGCGGTTGGGGCCAGCCCTGGTCTGCGGTCCCACGACGAGGGTCGTCCGTGTTCAGAGTTAGCAGGGCGGGGACAGAGACCAAGAGACGCAGGCGAGGTCTAGAGGAAACGCCTTGATCAGGGAGTTTGGGACGCGGGAGCATTTTTCAGAGGGTGAAAGGGGGCCAGAAGTCGGGTCACGGGCAGGGGAAGCGCGTGAAAGTGAAATCAAACGACTGAGCCCACCCTTGCGGCCAGCTGGAGCTAAAGGGCCCGAAACCCGGGACTCCTGGTTTCTGCACGCACCCCTCCCACGTCCAAGTTAAAGCCCCTCCGACCACTCATCCCGTTTGTCGGGTCGCCCGGGAGCACGGGAACACGAAAGTGTGGTGTGGGCGGGGCTTCCCGGCTGAGCAGGCCTGTTCCCTTCAGTCTTTCTACATTGGGTTCCAACTGGCAATTAATTAATTACACAGCCCCACACGGCACGTTTCAGTGGAGCTGCTGACTTGGACTGAAAGCACGAATTTCTCTTGGGAAGCTCCTGCTTGCTTACATCAACTGCCTCCCATCCACCAACCCGATTCTAACACAAGTCGTAAGACCGCTGCAAGCAGAGACTGCTAACTCAAGGAATTACCGTTTGATTTGAGGGCATGCTCCCCAAGATTTGCCATAACGTGAATCTCTTAAATTTGCTAACTGTTGAAATGGCAGCCTTCGGGCTCAGAACTGAGTACCATCCCTCTTATGTGCCCCATGTGCTCTGTGTGTGTGTGTGTGTGTGTGTGTGTGCGTGTGTGACTGCGTGCGCATTTTTTTTTTATTGTGCAAGGCTGATAGAATGAGTCATTTCATTAACTCAAACCATCAGCAACTCCCTGCCATTACTTACAGAGATCTCGGCAAATATGTTCTGTTCTGTTTACTGATCGGCAGAGAAGGAATTGCGTTTTCCTTTGTCTTTTGAAAGCTGCCCCAGAAAGTGGATAAATTCTTCGAAGAACCTAATCAAATTGAGTTCTTCTTTAATGCAAATATATTCAAAGGGAAGCAATTCAAACCACATTATTTGAATAATAGCATCAAAACACCACCTTATTAAAATTTCATTAAATGTTAGTAGCATAAGATTTTTGTTTGTAATTCAATATGAAAATGCAATCTGATAATGGCAACTGGAACTGCAATGCTAAGTATAAAATTACACTCCATGTAGTGAGGCGAGGAGGCTGAAATCTGGTGGAGGATGAGTAATAACTGTCTGTTCCACACACCATCCGACAAAGCACCCTCGAGCATCAATCTTAATGACAAGCCTACTGAAGAAAACAAATAGATCATCAAAGCATTCATTTTTTTTCCTACAAAGACAAAACTTCATCTGCTTCAAATTTCCCTGAAAATGAAAATCTGGACTTAAGTTCAAAGAAACCCTGCAATTAAGAATTCTGCAGAGTTGGAGATATAGCTCTAAGGACAGGAGCGCAGACTCTCCATGCAGGAGTCCTGGGTTCAAACCCCAGCGCTGCACGGTCTCCAAAGCAGAAACTGGTTGGGTCAAATGGAATTCTGAGAAAGTTTTCTTCTGAGTAAAAGATTTTTTCAGCAACCAAGAGACGACAGAAATGGACAGAGAAAAGCCATAGTCAAATTGGGCTGGTCTTTCCACAATTATTCTGCTTGAGGGGGTCCTGCAAGGTGGTGTTCAGGCTCTCTCCTCTGTTCAATGACGACTCGTGGCGGGGATCAAATTCAGGCCAGCTGCATGCAAGGCAAGCACTGTCCCCACTATATTCTCTTTCTGATCAGTGCTTCTGAGGAACTGACTTAAATCACCTTGCTGCCCCACAGGCCAGGCAGGCTACTGTTGTGCAGATGATCAGTGTCTGCCAGTAAAGTCCCACCCAGAGGGCAGATGGTCACTGCCCAGGATGGGTGAGAAGGGTCACTTTGACTTCTTAAGACTTCCCCTCTCTCCTGGCTCTGTTCAGAAGAAGGCAAGAAAATCCAGAAACACTGACAAGGTGGTAGTTCTCCCTGCCTGGAGAAGAGCCAGACCCACTCTCCACTTTAGCCAGACAGGAGAAACGAAGGTTGGAAAGGTGGTGATGATGGAGATGGTAATACTGGGCGACAACTAAGGATTTTACAAAGTGGTTAGACACCTGCAGACACTATCTAGAATATTCGGGGCCATGTGCCTTCGAATAATGCCCTACTAAGGCCCAAGCAGGGATTGTTTCTCCTGTCACGAAGGGATGTGTACAGGGCCTATGAGTCATCCTCTGGATGTGCTGAAGTAGGCAGTGAGCCAGCCACCTGGGACTAGAGCTGTCAGTCTGTCTGAGGGGCAGAGATGCAGAGAACGCAGATATGGAGGACTTGAAAGAGCAAGGGCTGGACTCAGAAGGTCCTAATTAGAAATCTGTGTGACTTTGGGAAATGATTGATGTACTTTTCTGTCGGCACATCAACAAAATAAAATGCCTTGTTCTGGCTTCAGGGGGCAAAGAGATGTTTCTCCCATTAGGTGACAGGGGCGGGCGGGGAGGGGACGGACAGGGGGTTTATGAAAAAAATACTGGCTATAAAATACAAGGCTTCCTGGGGAAAGCTCTGTCTCTCTTTCTCTTTCTCTCTCTCTCAAGAAGTTCGGAGAAACAGATCAAGCTGCTGTTATTTCCTTTGGCTGGGGGAGGAGCTACCAGAAGAATCTGGTATCGAACCCAGGGCCACGCACACACAATCAAGGTGTGCCCTCAACCACTGGAGCAGCAACCCTCTCCTCAATAGCTATTTTTTGGTCAAAATACATTCTTGATTTTCTTTCTTGCTCAGGAGACCAGCGGCAGGTGTAGTTTCAATGAATTCTAATTCCACTGTGAAACAGTAACTCCACCCAGCAGTGATGCACATTCAAATTCTCTGCCAAGTCAGTGTGATTTAAATAGAACACTTTCATTTATTTATTTTTGCTCTGCCAGAGAAATAATAGGCCGGTGGTTTTAAAAGGGAAATATTTTCAAGCACTTTATGTTAATACTCTGAATACTTTTATTACTAGACCAAAAGAAGCGGGGAGGATTAAAATTCTTTTAGACAAACCCTAAACTCGCTGTGATTTCAAATGCACCGAACAAAGAAATGCTTGCTACCAATTGCTCCTCAGATGTCTTCGCCTAATTAAATGCTTTATTTCATCTCCTTGGTAGCAAATGTCTGCTCAAAAGCTCTAATCATCATTATTATCTCCCGAATTCTCTTCATCCACTGGAATGAAGTGGAACCAGAGAAAGGTTCTGAAGAATTTTGACAGCAACCCCACACTAGAGGCAGGTAGGACTTAGGGGAAGGAAGGGCGTGATCGAAGCACACTGTCCCTTCATGCTCAGCTGGGAGCCGCCTTTTCCAGGGGAAGAAAGGAGGGCAGTGTGCAGCCCGGAGGATTTGTGGATTAGCAGGAATGGTAAGCCGCATTTGGGCCCATGGGGTGTTCAGACTGTGCTGGGGGCCAGCGAGCCACTGCCTGATCCTAGGACCATCTGGAAATGTGCACTCTCTAGGGGAAAGGGGTTCAGAGGTTCAGAGCAGGGGAAATCCTCTCCTGCCCGGTATTTTGCTTCTGCGGGCCCTGGCCTCAGGCAATGGCATCACCTCCTACCTCAAGGACATCTAGAAACTGAGCTGAAATGGGAACCTTGAAGCAGACAGGCTGAAAGGGACACAAAGAAACTCAGGTGGAGAAAGGCCTGCAGGGAAACTGACTCTTGAAACTGACTAGCATCAAGGCCCATACTGACAAGGGCTGGTAGTCTGGTCCTTGCTGGCCTGGCTCCCTCGGCCCTCACTTCCTGGGATAAGGCCCGGCCTTGCTCTTTATGCTTCTGTGCGTATCTGCTTCCCAGTTTCTCCTCAAAGCCACAAGCAAGCCCCAAGAGTAGACAGAGGAGGCCCATGGCAGGAAACGTGAGCCAGAGGGCTCCTGGTCCGACATGGTCAAGCCACGGGGTGCAGTCTCCAGCTCTGAGCTCAGGAGAGGCGCAGGACCACCAGAGAGGAGTCAGAACCCTGTGGTGGCACCGACACAGTGGGATATGACTGGTTTGGATAAGGGGACCGTGTACAGAGGGACCTGCCGGGACGCTGGGCCCTCGGGGCTCCTGGCCCTGCTCTTGCTCGTGTGATGCCCACCCTTAACCAGCGGCTCCTGCCGAGTGGCCCCTCAGCTCACTCACCCCACTCCCTCCCATCCACGAAATGAACCTGGTTTTTTCAGTGCCCCCGAGCCTCCCAAACCATCCTTCAGGGGACCATGTTTTCAATTCCCTGTCACACGTCTGAGTTGATCCCTGCCTTCCCTCCCCACCCCCACCCCCCCCGCCCAAGATCCCTCTTTTCTTCCATGTTGGTTCTGGGCTTTCTCAGAAGGTTCTGACCCAAGAGGACACCCTGAGTCTCATGGAGCAGTGCTTTTGTCTGGACTCCTGGGCACCCCCAACTCTGGCCTTGCTTCCTGCCTAGGACGGCCTGAGCACTCGGACCAGAGAACCATGGGGCTTCGGAATAGGTTCTCTTGCCTTCCTGTACCCATAGTTGCTATGGAAGGTGGGGGGGAGGCTCCTCAGGAGGACCCACTGCAGGACCCACACTTTACGGCAGGGGTGCATGCCCAACATGGGAGGGGTGAGGGAAGGGTAGCTCACCCTTGGTCTGGACACCAAGCGAAGCACTGAGCCCAAGGTCAGGAAGTAGAATCAAAGACTTGGTTCTATAAGAACCCAGACAAGGGTCAACTGGCTGGCCAGGGGTTTTTCCAAAGCATCATC